TGTTTCTAACTACGGACAGCGTTTTTAGAAACTTAAAACATTTCTTGCAAAAGAAGTAGTCAATTAAAACGACAGAAATAAAAATGATTACCAATGATTTATTGACTTCGAGTAAAAAGAGTTCTTCTTTTTAAACAAGATCTTAAGTTAAGTTTTTTAAATGAAGAAATAAGCACAGAAAGAATTTATCACAAATGAGATCTTCCGTAACTCGATTCTGAATCAGTCGAAATAATATATCAAAAAGCTGTTAGCTCAGTTCTTCCGTAGAAAAACGAAAAAGGCCCTGTTTTTTTTTCTGTTTTCTTTTTCTTGATGATTGGGGAGATGCGAAGGAGGCTTTTTCTTTTACCTTTTTTTTTTTTTCACGCTTTTAAAACAATTTCTTTCTTCTTTATTCGAGTTTAAGCACTAGAAATTTTCGTTTTCCCTTTTCAAAAAGGTGCATTCCATTAATCTGGGAACATTCGAACCTCATCATCCATTCAAAACAACAGAACACCACTTTAAGACCAAAGGCAAAAACAGGGGAAAACAGAGAAATCATCCTTTCTGCGTAGAAATTCGGTAAAAAGAAGAAGAAGAAGAAGAAGCAAAGACAGAACAAACTATGGAATCAAAAGAAGGGAAAAAATTTACTAAAACTGAATTTTTATATAATTTACATCTCTAGAGATTAAGAACAGCACAGAATCTGCATTTAAAAAGAAACCCGTACCTAAATCACATCTCTAAATTCCCTTATGCTATGCCATACATACAAAGGATTAGAAGGGAAAAGGAACTCGAATAAAGATTTAAAGAATAAAACAAGAACGGTACCCACGATTAGTTTACAGAGCCTACATAATACAGAATCATCAAAAAGACTTTACTTGAGTCCAAGAACCATCCGAGTTATACCCACTTGGAGTGGCAGCTAGGGTTGTGCAGCTGGAGCTAAGACCACTTCTAGTTTCTCTCCTCTTTCATCCTTTCTTAGTGACCAGGGATGCAATGGTCACGGCTGATCTGAAGAGACCCTTGATTATCTTTATCTTGATCTCGCCTCTCCGTCGTGGAAATGATTGTCTCCTCGAATTCATTGGGGTAGAAGCCGGAGAACTCATTTTTCTGAAAAGGGGAATTTGAGAATTTTGAGAAAACAGAGGAACTCAAAAAGGAAACAGAGTAAGCAGGGGAGGGACAGAGGAGTTATACTAGAGAGGGAAGGAAACAGGGGAGAGAAGTTGAGGAGTAAGAAGGATGCAGGAAGGCAGAACTGGGGGAGGGATATATCAATACACACGCAAGGCTTGGGTTTGGCTCTGGGTTCAGTTACTTGGGTGCCAAGCGTATTGAGTTTTTATGAGCTACTCCCTAGACCCACCATAACTGGGGTAGTCATAGGTCAATATAGTTTCAAATAGTCCATATTGCAATTTATAAGTTAAGTTTTGGATTCTGAAGTTTTCAAGTTTATATACACCATTTCTTTCTAAAATATGCTTAAAAACCCATCAAATGAAGTTGGTTTATCTGCTACTTTAACTCACTCATGCCTCGACTAGCATGATAAAAAATTGTCATACCATATTGCTAAATTGTTATTAGAGATAGTAGTTTTGCAATTTGTTCCATGGAGATGGACAATCATAACATCAATAAACCCACTTTTTATTAATAATTATAAAATATATAATTTATAAAGAGACGTCATTTTTTTGAAATTATTATTCTCTTCTCTTTATTTTTACACATTCATTCCATTTGATGAATAATAATATGTTAATATACTATTTTTCAGAGTTTAACATACTAAATTTGGATCATTGAGTGGATTATTTAAGGCAAAAGTCTTTAATAGTTGGTATGATGGGCTTTCTCATTCTTCTCTTTTTCTCCATGTAAGCCAATAAAATATATATACAGGGGAACTAACAAATCTCATCTTAATAAATAGAAATAGAGAATCTTGAGATGGTTGAAGATAGGTTTTTTTTAAAAAAAAATTAGAATTAGATTTTAATCAAATTCTAATATAAATACAATTAAATCATATATCAACTCCCAAATTTTGAAAAAACCTATAACAAATAAATACAATAGGTAGATCAAGAATTAAGAATGGAAAGTGAACAAAGAGTGAGAAAACATGGTGAACTTGACAAACAGGGGATGAAAGGCTTCAATAGAACAAAGCAACTAGGTTTGATAACCCAAATTTGATGGATTAAATGGAACCCAAAACCGCTAAGTTTGAGGGAACCAGCAGCAAGAAAGAGGAAGAAATATAAAGAAAGAGGGAGAAGAAGGTGGATCGAGAAAGAGAAGGGTAACAATGTAACTTTATTGTTTTTTTATTTTTTTAATTAAAATATAAATATTTATCTTATTTGTATTTTTTATTTGTCCACGTAAGTTAATTACAAAACATGTCATTGCCACGTTATTAAAAGAATTAAAAGAAAATGCCATTATGGAATTATTTAACAATCATATCATAGTTAAATGATGGAAGGATCACAATTGTGCAGTTTTTAGAGTTGAAGAATAAACAGAGTATAAAAAATAGTTGAGGGATGAAAATTAACAACACTATAGAGTTAAGGAACCAAAACTGATATTTTACAAAAAAATATGTTATGTTATTTAATTAAATTATCTTACAATCATATTTTATTTTATAATTGAATGGTTCTTACAATTTAACAATAAAATAATAAATTAAACTAATTATATCAATTTTAAAATTTTATAATTTAAATTAACTCAATTTTATATTAAATTAATTTAATTTTTTTTATTAAACTAAACCAATTCCAATCGAGTCAATCGAAATTTCAACAGATATGAACACCCCTATGATCAAGTAGTTGGCACCATCGGTCGATGGCGGTAGACCTTAACTGCTCTTACTCGATGGTCCAAGGTTTAATCATAATATACTAATAATTTAATAATAATATTTTATTATTAATAAAAATTTTAAATTTAAATTATATATATAAATAAATTAAATTAAAAAGAATTGACTTCATATACAATGTAACGTAAAAAAAAAAAAGTTTAATCCTAACCTCCATAAAAATAAAAAAATCCAATTGAGTAGTTGGCAGATTTCACTTTTGGGCTCAAAAACCTTGGGCCGTTACTCTTAAAACTGCTTAGATCTGGTCCAGATCTCATAATGGAATTCGACCCAAAAACTTCTATTGGCTTAAAACAAGTTGTGTAATTTTGTTGCAAATAATTTTAAAAAAAATATTAGTCTTCACTCTTAAAAAGATTAAATTCTTAACTTTAAATTATATCATTTTATTTAATTAAAATTTAATTTAAAATTTAAATTTTATATTATTGATATTTAGACTTAAAAAGTGATTAGACTTTTAAATTTAAATTTAGAATTAAAATTTTAGTTTTTAAATATAAATTGAAATTCTAATTTTTTTTAAAAGTCAAGATTAATACATACTAATTTCATAATAACATATATATA